CAGCTTCTTCTATCAAAAGTCTCGATATATCTGACAATGGTATGCAAACCCACACATGCACACCCAATTTCATCATACTGTATGTACAGTACAATAAACTTTCATTTACCACATTTGTAGGAGATTAACTTACAGAAACCTTACATGGTAGAATTGTGCAGTTACATGCAATAGTTTTCACACAGGTGAAACCACATATCTCTGTGCTGAGAAACCCTGATGTAGGTGTCTATGACTGATATTTTGCTGTGTAAGTTAGATTAATGTACTACCCACCTGTTGCATCTGATAAGTATATGCAATTTTTAAAAGATTAAATTACATAAAGAAATGAACAGCCAGACATATTACATACTTCAAAAGGGATGTTCAGTTAACATTAGACATTAGATAAAAGATCATACACTTAGTTGGTAGTTTATTAGGTACACCTAGCTAAAACTAATGCAGTCAAATCAAACAGGCCTGTAATAAACCCTCCTTCATCAATGCGATAATGCTCAGCTTTTGTTCAAACTGTTTTACAGAGGTTGATTTAACTGAATGAGCCTTTTGGAGGTCATAGTTTGTGCTGCTGTTGAACTGTACTGCTTTATACAGCGAGGCATTGGTCTTACTTAATCTACCCCAATTAATATAAATGGGGAACAAACAACCACTAGCACATCTAAAGCTCATAGTTAAAGATGATACATCTTATTTTTGTAATTCATTCAAAAACAAAGGTGTAAAACAGAGGTCTCCACAAGACCCCCCCAAAGTAACCAGTTGTAGGCTTTCTCCAAGTCCACAAAACGCATGTAGACTGGATGGACAAATGCCCATGGCCCCTCGAGTAGTCTCACAAGGATAGGTTCATCTGCCTGGACAGAGTCTGTATTGAGCTCCTGAATCAAAGGTTTCATATTTGGTCAGAGCCTCCTTTCCAGCACTCTGGCATAATCTCTCCCGAGGAGGCTGAGCAGTGTGATAATTGGCATGCATCCTCTGGTCCCCCTTTTTAAGTATGGGTACCACCAACCCAGTCTGCTGGTCTACAGGCAATGTCCATGTTCTCCATGTGACACCAAAGAGACATGTCAGCCTAGACAGCCCAACTGTGTCCAGAGCACTGTGCCCTTCCCTCCTCTAAATAGAGGCTGACAGAGAGAAAATACAGTGGGACAACAAAGCAGGACAGTCCGTGTCAGCCCTGGAGTCTGTGCTTGGTGACAGTTAATGGAAGTGCGGGATATCTTGCTCGTTAGGTTCCGATAGTGGAAACGCGGCATGAGGCTACAGGTTAACTAATGAAAAGTACATTTGCATTTCACATGTATTATTATTGTATTATAAAATATAATAACACCATAAGTTGTGGAAGCAGATTAAATATCACAAACTTATCATAGTTTTGGCTGGTGAAGCTTCCTTTTCATTTAATTGAAATTAATTTGGTCTCACTTTTCACTAAAACATGGTTATACTTCACGTTTACACCAACAAGTGCAGTAAATTTTGAAAAATGATGAATGGCTGTTAATAACATAACAGAAGATTGTGACTTTCATGGCACTAGACCTTTCTTACTGGAATTACAGCAATGCAGTTGCACACTTAATTTCAGTCCTCTCTGTTGCTCACTCTCTCCCATTTTATTGCCCCTGTCTTGCTGTAGGTTTTGAGAATGATATGGTGACTCTGGTCCTGTCTGTTGGTCGTTGTCATTCTCTTCGACACCTCACACTGGGGAGAAACTTTGCCATGAAGTCCAGGTCTGGTTGAACATAATTCAAAGCCGTGCTGTGCATTCTCCAATTTTGCATGATCCTTTTTACTCTGTGACTCTTCTCCTACCATCAGCTAATTACCTGGATGTACAGTTGCTTGAGAAAGTATTAGACCCCTTTAATTTTTGCATGACTTGTGTTGTAAATATAATTTGAAATGGATGATAGTCATTTTTGTTCATTGGTTTACAATCAATAACTCATAATGACAATATGAATTTTTTGCATATTTATTAAAAATCAAAATTTGAAATCGCTCAATTACAAGCTCTGTCAGATTGGGATGGGAAGAGTCTGAACTGCCATCTTCAGGTCTTTCCACAGATGTTATATGGGGTTTAAGTCTGGACTTTGATTGGGCTACTCATGGACAATCAGAGACTTGTCCTGGAGCCACTCCAGTGTTGTCTTGTCTCTATGCTTCAGGTCATTATAATGCTTAAAAGTGAACCACTGCCCCAGTCTTAGGTTGCATGAACTCTGGAGTGAGTTTTCTTCAAGGACCTCTTTGTATTGTGTTGCATTTGTACTTCCCTCAATTCTGACCAGTCTCCTCCCCCTGATGCTAATAAGCATCCTCATACATCCCATGACACTACCAACACCATGCTTGATCAGAGGAAAATACTGCTGGAGTTTGGTTTGACTCTTACTTTGCCCTTAATGGTCGGAAATTAGAGGGAGAATTTAGTTAATGTGGCTTTAAAGGATAGCTTTGCTAATGTTTAACCTTATCTTTGTCTATATGAATAGACATATAATATGAACAGCAACCCTTTTATTAATGTTCTCTGAGGCTAATTTCAAAAACTGTAGTGACATCACTGTTTCTCAGAAGAACCCCTTCAGCCTGTATTTCTAGTCTCTGACCACTGTGTTAGGTGTTTACAATGGCTGGTAACTTTACAGTATGTGGTCAGTAATACAAACCCCATTTCCAGAAAAGTTGGGACATTTTCAAAAATGCAATAAAAACTAAAATCTGATTTGTTCACTTGCTAGAACCTTTATTTAATTGAAAAAAGTACAAAGAAAAGGTTTCCAGTGTTTTCACTGAACAACTTAATAGCATTTTGTAAATATAAACAAATTTAGAATTTGAGGCCTGAAACACCCAACATTCACTGTATGTATGCACCTTTCAGGCTCATTGACGTACACATCATTGCACCATCGGAAAATGACAATGTTTTGGAGACATTTACCCCCTGTTAATACAAAGTACTGTAGATTAGGTGAATAAGTACTAAAATTATCAGCCAGTAACACCAGACCATGAATTACGTGTCACTTTTCAGTGGTTGGCTCCGCCTCCATGTGATCAAGAAGCCTAACAGGCTCAGCTTGTGTAGCCGACGCAGGATGTCTTAGCTGCTGCTGCTGCAATGTGAGGAGTCAGTCCATTCAGAAAGCAGTTACTAATATGTGTTTCCCACACACCAGGAGCATTGCCCAAATCAGCTGGTTGTTCCAGGCCACTATGAATGTTAAACAGCTCTATAAGATGGTGTAAATACTCCTCTGTTGATTCTCCCTCTTTTGTTGTCTGCAAGACGTGTTTTTACTCATGTCCACTTTAGTGGGAAACTGGTCATGAAACACAAGTCCTAGGGCTGTAACAGCGTCTCTGTATGGGGCGTTATCAGCGTGATTCCATTCGATGTTGCAGACACGCAGGCCATTTACTGGGAAACGACGAGTCACATGCTGGAGATCGGCAGGTTTCATTTTTGTCACTAACAAGCGTTTCAGCTCAGTCATGGTGGGACGAAATTTAGTGCAGAAAATGGAGAGCTGTTCTGCAAATTTCTGTCCAGATGCTGTTGGGTCTGGAAGATGTGCTGCAGCAGTAATATCAGCAGTGGTCCATGTTCGGAACACAAGGATGGGACCAGTAGGGCCGGACACTTCAACCATGGGTAATCATAGTTCAGCAGTGGAAGACGGGCCAGCGGCTGCACTCATGTCATACGCAGCACCGCTGTGCACTGTCTGCAGCAACAGAAGGCCCAGAGAGACCGGTGGGTCGTATGGTCGGGGTTTGACGTCAGGCCTGTCCTGAAGTTGGTGCAGGTGGTGGGCAGACGTCGGGGTGGGGGTCCAGCTTCAGAGCCGTATACTGTGGATACAGAGAACTGAGCGACAGATTACTGTTTTCTTTTTTACTGACAAGACATTCTTTAGTCTTTCCTGATTTGGACATTTCATTGAACATTCTCTTTCTTCCCTACTTTCTGCTTCATTCCTCCACATGTTCAAACACATTCTATGATTTTCTACATCTTTAAGTTCATTCCGCGATATTTTCTTTTTCTTATACAACGCCTCCTTCTTTCCCTTTAATTTATTTTCAAGTTCCTCAGTCTTTTTTACACTTAAAGAACCCCCGTGGGGAAAACCAAACTCACATGTCCATATGGCCATGCTTTGGACACTTTTGTCACCGTACTTTCTCCTCATTATGTCAATAATTGAACTCTCCAGAGGATCCTCCTCCTTACTCGTCTTGTTCCCCATTGTCCTAGATGGGAGCTGTGCACAACTATAATTTTCAATACAAAACGGACGTCTCCGTTAGGGTTCAGTCACTTCTACCTTTCTTGTGACCAGAACAGGACCTCAGTGTCCTCGCCTTAAACTCCGAATTGAGAACACCTACCTCAGTGCCACGTTTAATGACACCTACACTCAGTACTTTTAGATAAGTACCTACCTCAGTATTCAAGAGAATACCTACATCACAAGACGAGGGATCATCAATTATTAACACAATAGAGGAATAGCTTTCCCGAATTTACTAATTTAACATTCTTCTAAATTTATTTAACCAATTTATTTAACACTCACCACAAAGAATAATCTCTTTCCAAACATTGGATACTTGGATCCCATCAGTGATGATCCAGGGCGTCCTCTGACAGTCCCCAATCACTCACAAATATGAATGAGGTTTGGGGCTGAGAAAGTTGTTATTCTCAGGCTGGCCAGGCCCTGTCTGACAGACGTCCTAGATGACCACTCGAGGGATCCCATCCTCATCGCCAGAATTGTTGTAGAAAAATTATCTTTTAAAGCTCAGCGAGTGTAAAATAAATACTTAACATCAATTCTGAAAGTTATTACATATTTATTCCTGCAAGAAGGAGGTTTCTCTGAACAGAGTGTCTAATACAGTCTGTTACAGGGAAGCTCAATGAACAGAATGTGACTGCCCTTCTTATACCCAGCATACTAAAACAGAAAACAGATGCTCAAACAGATAAGTCAAACAGGAGGCTATTTACTATGGGATACCAGCTCTCAAGTCTCAGGTCACATCTGGGTTTTCTCTCTCACAAGGGCATGCAAAGGTTTACGATCATGTGATATACATCTAGTAATGGATTACAAGGTAAATAACCACTAAAAGGGTACTGTCATAAAAATTGCCACCACAAGCTCCACCTCCTCACTGAGATAAAGGTTTTTGTGTTTTCCTAGCTCAGAGTTGCTCAGAGCAGTTTTCTAAATCCCGTTAAACTAGGACTCCTTGCTAGGAGTTTTTAGGGTAAGGTAATGTGGGCCCTGAAGTGATAAAAACAAATCTTTATTAATATGTTGATTTGGGTTTCAATATGCGTTTGACAATCAGTGTCTCAGACTGTATGATGGTGTGCGCCATTATCCCCATTTATATGTATCAAGACTACAAACACATACACAATTTAAGTGGCATGTTCCATCTGACCTAAATGTTCTAAACCTCATTTTTACCTAAAGTTGCTGTGTTTTGCCTGTCTTCTGTCCTTCTACCCTACATTTGGACTTTTTTCCCTCCCTTTCTTGTCACACATTTCTTGTTTTCTTGGTTTGATATGTACTCTCTCTGTCTACCAGAGCTCTCACTGATGTTCTTCATCGTATAGCTCAACTCATTCAGGATGAAGAGTGTGTGAGTGACACTTCTTTACATTTCACTCACTATCTGAACTGCTTTCAGTCATATAAGCTTACCTACATTGATATTAATGGGGAGTGTTTATCATGTCGGTGCTTATTTATGTACAACTTGGTAACTATCAATAAACAGTCACGTTATATATTTCACAGGATTTCCACAATATAGTTCTTCCTATTATGTACAGAAGAGTTGCTGAAATTAGTTGCTGGTGTGAATGAGGGAATGGAAAATAGTGTAGAGCACTTTGAGTGCACTTTGTTGTGTAGAAAAGTGCCATATGAGTATAAGACCATTTACCATTGTGAAGACGTTTTAGTTGGTTTGAAAATCAAGATTTGGTTTTAGCGTTAAGGTCAGAATTAGGATCAGGTTAGGGTTGGGGGTGGCACTACGCATTTAGCTGTGATGGTAAGGAATGAATTATGAGGGTAAGACCCCAGGAGATGAATGTAAGTCAGTGTAAAGTTTACGAGGGATGAAAACAAATTTGTGTGTGTGTGTAGCCTTTACAGTCTCTATCAGTGTGCGACTCCAGACTGAAGACAGGGATGCACATCTTGCTGAGTGCTTTGGGCAGCCATGCTGCTCTGGTTGAGCTGGACATCAGTGGAAACAACATCGGAGACACTGGAGCCAAAATGCTGGCTAAAGCCCTGATGAATAACACCAGACTGAGGTGAACATGTAGAAGATAAACGCTAGCTAAGGTGTTGGATACAAATCAATTAGAGGCACAGTGACAAATTTTATGAACTACAGAATAATGCCACCCTAGTCCTTCAGTAAGCAGAGATAACGTCAATGTTTCTGCAACACATTGTCATGCAAATTGTTCCACTTTTCCACAACAGAACAATTTCTGTTCCACAGCCATTATTTATATGTGCGTTCAACATACTTGGCCAATAAAAATGATTCAGATTATCACCTCTTGTTTAATTTTCTCTATAAGCAGCGGGTCTACCACTCCTTTGGATATCATGTTATAATTTGAAAATAAGAATGAGTATTTGATTGGATATAAGAGTGTTTAGTATTTTGTCTTGATTTTGTCATTTGATGTTGCACCTGTCAGTCACCTAGACAATGATGATCACTTAAAGTCATCTTCCACCAGAACTGACCTTTGTCTGTCTTTCTTTCAAGGATTCTAACATGGGACAGAAACAATGTAACTGCCAGGGGTTTCCAGGACGTGGCTGATGCCTTGGAATGGTCAGACATGCACACATATACATACAGACTCTCTCTCTCAACAATTGCAACAATCTTAGTGCTAGTTGTTGTTATTGATCATGTGCTGTACAAATACTGTTATGCATGCATGATGTAGCCCTTGCTGCCTACATATATCAGTAAACAATGTTAACAGTCATCATATAATCAAAGGTTGAAATGCTTTTATATCTCTCTCTGATACCTGTTTTGACAACCACTAAGTGATACACCTGGACTTAACAAAAGGAGAAACTGGTTGAAACAGTTTTCAAATCAGAAGGATGTACTGTTTGAGGTGACATCACAGCTGATAGGGGAAATTCTTGCTTTCACTCTTCTTTTCTTTCCCTGCCTGGCTTGGGCTTTCTCTTTCTGTCTCTGATGCCTGTAATAATAACAAAGCTAAATGATAATGAATGGAACCATTGCTTATGTGGGCGAGAACAAAGCATACACTGAGGTCTGACTGACCTTACCGGCTGTCTGGAACATAATGATGATCTGTTATTTGTCATGGCTCAAGAGCTGCTTTCATGTGTTATTTTGTGTGCCTATGTGTAATTATTGTACACATAGGCACCTCTTTAGCTGAGCAACCCCCCAATATTCATATCTATAGGCACATACTATGGATAAGATAAACTTATCTTACTTGAAAATAATCATTCTAAATTATCAGACATATTTCTTATTTCACAGTGAATTATTCACATTGGATTTCAGCAGTTGTGAATGTAGGGGTTCATTTTAAAGTGTTGTGTTGCTATTAAAATACACAAAGTCAGTAGGATTCATCCTCTGTACAGTATGAATGCCTGTACAAAAACTCTCTCTTCTTTTCTTCCCCTGCCTGGCTGGGGCTTTCTCATGGCAACCAGTGCAATAGTTGTTAGGCTCAGGAGGTAGAGTAGGTCGTTTCCTAACCGGAGGATTAGCGGTTCGATTACCGGCTTGTCCAGTCAACATGTCAAGGTGTCCTTGAGCAAGACACTGAACCCCCAGTTGCTCCCGGTGATGTCACTGGTGTGTGAATGTGTGAGTGCTTGGGAGTGCGAATGGGTGAATGGCCGAATATTGTGAAAGCGCTTTGAGTGTGCTGTAAAAGCATAGAAAGGCGCTATACAAGTATAAGACCATTTACCATTTAAGAGATTTCAGTCCAGAACAGAATGGTGGACCATCTAATTTAGTAATTCAACAAGGGTGGTACCGCCCCCTAATGGGCGTTCACAGAATGTCAGGTTTCAACTTGACTTAAGTGGGCATTCACGCAAAAAAGGTTGAGCACCACTAGTCTGATAAACATGCAGACCAACACTGCTGTACCTAGAGCCATGCTGCTATTGAAACCAAAAGTCTAAAGTGAAGTGTATTTTACAGCACAGTATGAATTGTGGATTAGCCCCATTTGAACAGATAGATTTGACTCTATGTTGTGCAGGAACTTCACTCTGCAGCAGATGCCTCTCCCCCTGGCTGATATCACACAGAGTTACCGCAGTAACCCTGATGGAACAAAAGAGGCCCTTCACAAGGTCAGTACATACAATCTGGCAAAATATTTGGAAAGGTCTTGTCATTTCTTTCGGTCTACTGGAATTGCCATACTGGAGCCTTAAGGTTGTGTTTGTATTGTGCCTCTGAGTTTCTTTTCCTTCTACATTCAATGGGCCTCATTTACCAATATCTTCTTTCCTTTTGCTTAAATTCCCTATGTTCTTAATTTGTTCTTAAAAGAAAGATTCTAAGAAAAATGAAATCGCTTTTCATGAGCGTTTTCTTAAAATGCAGAATTGTTCACACCTGTATTCTTGCAGTGATGAATCTTATTGTGTTTTTAATCTGAAAGTACCTGCCAGTCATTACTATTTAGTATAGTGAAGGGTTCACCAGTTCTTGCTACCATGCTAACTCTGAGAGACGAGACAGTCCAAGTAACTTCAAAACAGTGCTGATTTATTCAAAGGATCACAGGTAAAATTAACATTACACGCTCAAGTATCTTGCACCTCCAACCTGCACGCAGGCAGATGTAAGATGAAAGACCCTGAATCCACCAGGCCTATACATTATATCCCTTTGGTTGGGCTAGCCCCATACTACACAGACACGTCAACCGAGACGTCTCTGTTACCAGCTTTGCAGCTGGTCATAGCAGTAGTCAAAACATGAAGCAAATCAATGTGTGAATGTGTATGTCTGTTGATTAAGTGGTGTGTAACTAAAAACATTCTCACAGACTTCTAGTAAACATGTCGTGTCTTAAACATAAGAACATATTATGGCTAAGGCTACAGTTATACACATCATAATAATATTAAACATCCTGTCTGCTGACAGTCATCAACTCTTCTCTCTAGTTATCCTTGACCAGATGTACCCTGTAGAAACTCATAAGCATGACTAAGCATTTAACAGTCTAACTAGACATCCTATCTCCACTAAACATTTCTAATACATAAAGTATCTATCCAATTTCTATCTGACTAAAAATACCTAACAATTGGTAAATGCCCTGCCACGACAGGGCCATGTGCACACAGGAATATCACACAGAAATTAAAAAAGACAGAGATAGGAGCACTTCACTCCAAACTGAAGAAAAACATAAGTCAAATGGAGAGCAGCAAACAGGCTATCATATTTAGTGGTGGATAAAATAACACAACCAGTACATCTGGCCACACATCCTGCCCTCAGGTATGCCATCAATGGAGCAAATTTCCATGCACCCTGGTTCCGGGTTCACAGTAAAACTCAAGCAGCTTCATTGTGCCAAAGAGGAGGCCTACAGAAGGGGGACAGGACCCTTTACAGGCAAGTCAGGGACACACTGACAAGGGAGATCAGAGTAGCAAAGAGGAGCTGCTCTGAAAAGCTGAAACACCAGTTTTCAGCCAACGGCCCCTCATCTGTGTGGAGAAGCTTACAAAACATCACTGATTAAAGGAAACCATGCCCCCTGCTGTGGAGGACCATCCATCTGGCAGACGACCTGAATGTGTTTTACTGTAGGTTTGAGAAGCAGAACTCCACACCCCTCACCCACCCCACCAATGGCAGCGCACATAGAGACAGCAGTACAGTACTGTCCTGTCAGTGCTTTGTAGACTTAAGATGGCACTGACAACTATAGTCGCCTTGTGTACTCGTGTTCTCTTGTGTTTGTTGTTTTTCTTTGTTTTCTCAGTCTTTTGTAACCCGTCCCAGATTATTTTTACCAGAGAAGAACTGTTAAACATCGGACAACTCACACCAGACCACCTTTCTCTGACTTTCTTCAACAAAGAATGCTGTGTGGACATTCTGATCAGCAGCGTAGCTGTAATCTACAGGACCTGTAGGAACCACCAACGAGGCAAACGAGCAGGCGCCTTAGTAAGGCTACTCTGGAGAGGGACCCGGACTCCACTCCCATCCATTCACCTAGCGAATGTCCGCTCCCTAGTGTTGTATTCCGGTGTAGGGAGCAGATGAGCTCCTGAGTTGGGTGATGAACTCCTTCTCGTCAACAGGACCAACTCTGACTTTGCACGCTGTGCTGCTTTATGCTTCATGGAGATCCAGAGATGTGTGCTCTACCCTCTGCTGTTTTCACTCTACACCAACGACTGCATCTCGAAGGACCCCTCTGTCAAGCTCCTAAAGTTTGCTGATGATACAACGGTCATTGGTCTCATCCGAGACAGTGACAAGTCAGCCTATAGACGGGAGGTTGAGCAGTGGAGATGACAGTGGACTTCAGCAAGAGCCCCCCAATACTTGGCACCACTGTATCAGCAGTAAAGTCCTACAAGTTCAGTTCCTGGGCTCCACTATCTCCCAGGACCTGAAGTGGACATCCAACATCAGGACCATCACCAAGAAGGCACAGCAGAGGATGTACTTTCTGCGCCAGCTCAGGAAGTTCGACCTGCCCCAGGAGCTGCTGATACAGTTCTACAGAGGAATCATCGAGTCTGTTCTCTGCACCTCCATCACTGTCTGGTTTGGCTCAGCAACCAAACAGGACAAGTACAGACTTCAGCGGACAGTCAGGACTGCAGAAAAGGTCATTGGTGTGAGCCTGCCCTCCATGGAGGACCTGTACACCTCACGGGTCAAAAGGAGGGTGGAGAGGATCACTGCAGACCCCTCACTCCCCGGACACAGTCTGTTTGAACTCCTCCCCTCTGGACGGTGTTACAGGTCACTGTGCACCAAGACAACCAG